GGATTTAGTCTCACATCAGGCTCCCCATGGGGAATAAATAAATAAAATATTTTTTAAAAAGTGTATTGGGACACCTGGCTGGCTAAGTCAGAAGAGTGTGCGACTCTTGACTTTGGGATTAGGTGTAGAGATTACTTAAATAAAAGTTTATAAATAAAGAAAATAAGTGCATTTAAGCTTTAAAAAGTGTTTATTTTAACATTACAGGAACCACACAAATAAAGAAACATTCCTGAAAGTCTGAAGTCTGGGAAACATTGCATGAGTAAAGAAAGACTAGAAAACCAAATCAGAGAACCAGTCCATCCTTCATAAATGTTTTATTTAAACAGTAATACCAAAATTTATTCACTTTGTCCATTGACAATCTTCTTTAAGCATAAAAATACAATGGCCCATCTTAAAAAAACAAAAACCTCTCAACTCCCTTTGTCTGTTGGCTTGAAATGCTATATACACTTCCTCACCCTCCATTTACTCAACCCACTGCAATATAATCTCCACTCCCAGCATCTGATCAAAACTACTCTTGAAATTATCAAATACCTACTAACTGACAAAACCAATGAAACCTTTTCTGTCCTTAACTTGGCTCTCTAAGGCAGCATTTGGCATTGTTGACTGTTCCTGTAAAGTTCTTTCTTCCCTGGACTTCCACATCACTGTCCTGTCTCTTCACTCATTCCTCCTTCATCTCTTGTGCAGTCTTCTTCCTTCATCCCTTAAATGTTAGAGTTCCCCCAATCTTTTACTGCTATGATGATTATAAAAGGAATGAAAAAAGTAACGTTTGTACATGGTTAATAAAACTGAAAAAGGTTATGCCTTGGTGGCTCAGTCGGTTGAGCGTCTGCCTTCAGCTCAGGTCATGATCTTGGGTTCAAGCCCCAGGGCAGGCTTCCTGCTCAGTGGGGGAGTCTGCTTCTCCCACTGCCCCTCACCCCACTTGTGTTCACGCACCCTCTCATTCAAATAAATAAATAAAATATATTTTTTAATTTTTAAAAGATTTTATTTATTCATGAGAGACACAGAGAGGCAGAGACATAGGCAGAATGAGAAGCAGGCTCCACGTGGGGAGCCTGATGCAGAACTCGATCCCAGGACTCTGCAATCACGACCTGAGCCTAAGGCAGTCACTCAACCACTGAACCACCCAAGTGCCCAATAAAATATTTTTTAAAAAAAACAGAAAAAAGTACAATACAAAAACCAGAGGTTAAGGTTCCTGTATATTTTTCCAGAAAAAAAATTATGTATAAATATATCCTCTTTTGTTCTTTCATAGAAATAAATGTTCTGCACCTTGGGGTTTTTGTTCCATTTGTTTTGTTCCTACCTAATAGTAAATTTTGCAGAGCTTTCTATATCACCTCTTGGCACATATAATTCTATCTCATTTTGTTACTGGATCTATAAATATTCCACTGAATTTTTTTTAAAGATTTTATTTATTTATGCATGAGAGACACACAGAGAGAGAGAGAGAGGCAGAGACACAGGCAGAGGGAGAAGCAGGCTCCATGCAGGGAGCCCGATGTGGGACTCGATCCCCGGTCTCCAGGATCAGGCCCTGGGCCAAAGGCAGGCACTAAACCGCTAAGCCACCGGGCTGCCTCTCCACTGAATTAATGTAACTTAACCAGTTCCTTACTGATGCACACCAGGTAGCTTCTAAGTTTTATTGTATTACAATATTACAGTAAATATCCTTATAAAAGTGAGTTTTAAAATTCCTGTAAGTGGAATTGTCAGATCAAAAGGAAGGTTTCTGATTCTTATATTATCAAATTACTCTCCACAAAAGTTAGAAAAATGGGGATCCCTGGGTGGCGCAGCGGTTTGGCGCCTGCCTTTGGCCCAGGGCGCGATCCTGGAGACCCGGGATCGAATCCCACGTCGGGCTCCCGGTGCATGGAGCCTGCTTCTCCCTCTGCCTGTGTCTCTGTCTCTCTCTCTGTGACTATCATAAATAAATAAAAAAAAATTTTAAAAAAAGTTACAAAAATGTACATCCCTATCATACAGAAGACTGCCAGGGACGCCTGGGTGGCTTAGCGGTTAAGCGTCTGCCTTTGGCTCAGGGCGTGATCCTTGGGTCCCGGGAACAAGTCCCACATTGGGCTCCCTGCATGGAGCCTGCTTCTCCTTCTGCCTGTGTCTCTGCCTCTCTCTTTCTGTGTCTCTTGTGAATAAATAAAATCTTAAAAAGAAAAAAAATACATAAGACTGCCTGTTTCCCCTCATGTTTGCCAACACCTAGTCATTGAAATTTGTTTTGCTGAGAGGTACCTGGCTGGCTCAATCAGTAGAGCACATAACTCTTGATCTTGGGGCTATGGGTTCAAGGCCCATGCTGAGTGTAAAGATTACTTAAATCTTTTTTTTTTAATTTTTATTAATTTATGATAGTCACAGAGAGAGAGAGAGAGAGAGGCAGAGACACAGGCAGAGGGAGAAGCAGGCTCCATGCACCGGGAGCCCGACGTGGGATTCGATCCTGGGTCTCCAGGATCGCGCCCCGGGCCAAAGGCAGGCGCCAAACGCTGCGCCACCCAGGGATCCCAAGATTACTTAAATCTTAAAAAAAACATCATTTTGCTGGTCTATAAATTAAGAACTGAAAAAAAAATTAAGAACTGAGATCTCATTGTTTTGATTTGCATTTCTTTGAGGTTGAGTATCAATATTTGTTGGTGTTCTATATTTTTTTCTGAAAACTACTTAGATCCTTTATTCATTTATTAGGCTATTCACCTTATTGATTTGTAAGAGCTCTTTGTATATAAAAAAATTATATTCTTGGGCAGCCCAGGCGGCTCAGCGGTTTAGCGCCGCCTTCAGCCCAGGGCATGATCCTGGAGGCCTGGGATCGAGTCCCACATCAGGCTCCCTGCATGGAGCCTGCTTCTCCCTCTGCCTGTGTCTCTGCCTCTCTCTCTGTGTGTGTGTCTCTCATGAATAAATAAATAAAATCTTTTAAAAAATTATATTCTTTATGATAGGGTTTTTTAAAGATTTTATTTATTTCAAAGAGAGAGAGAGCACGAGCTAGGGGGAGTGGTAGAGGGAGAGAAGCAGGCTATCCACTGAGCAGGGAGCCCAACATGGGGCTCGATCCCAGCACCCTGGGATTATGATTCAAACAGAAGACAGATACTCGACTGAGCCACCCAGGTGTCCCTTAAGTAATCTCTAAACCTAATCTGGGGCTCAAAAATCACAACCCCAAGATCAAGATTCGCATCCTCTACCAACTAAGCCAGCCAGGCACACCCACAATTTGCTTACACATACATGTGTAAGGCCGAGTTGATGGCCCCCAAATCTTTAACTCTACCCTGGACTTCTAGCCTAACTTTAAGTTCTAATTGTTGGGCAGCCCCGGTGGCTCAGCGGTTTAGCGCCACCTTCAGTCCAGGGCCTGATCCTGGAGACCCAGGATCTAGTCCCAGGTCAGGCTCCCTGCGTGGAGCTTGCTTCTCCCTCTGCCTGTGTCTCTGCCTCTTTCTCTGTCTCTCATGAATAAATAAATAAAATCTTAAAAAAAGTTCTAGTTTTTAATTCCATATCTTCACCTATATGAAGCTAAATTCATTTATGTTTACAAATTAGCTTATCTGGATCTGAATTTGTCTTTCCCCCAATATGCTACTCCTCTTTTCCTCTCTTGGCTAATAATGCAATCATTCAATCAGAAGTTTCATGCAGACATCTAAGTCATCCACTTCTTCCTTACCACCTACATCCAACTGACCAAGAATCTGGAAATATTTTGCCCAAATGACCACAATGTCTTCCTAATTACTACTAGCAATGTCACACAATGATTAAATGGTAACTATTACCTCACTGCTCTAGCTTCTCCCAGCTTCTTCCAAGCCACCCTCCTTTGCTACTGCCAGACTAACAAATCCAATCCTCTTCCTAACTTAGAATCCTTCATAAACCTGCCCCACTCCCTTCCTTCTACACACACAACATTTATAAAGATAACATCTGGATTTCCTTGGTAGGATGTGCAGAGCCATTCATTAAGGTCCCTGTTGTATTTCACACCCCTATATAGGCTACCCTCCAGCTGCACTCAACTACAGGCCATACTTCCAAATACAATGCTTTTTCATACTTCATGGCTTTGTGCACACTCTTCCCTGACAAACAAGCCTTCCCCTCAGGCCATTTCAGGAACACCTATTCAAGACTCAGGTCGAGCATGTCCTTCTTTGTGTTCCTGTAGCAATTAGCACTTACTCCAGCCCTGGTATAAGTCACATTGTTTCGTGGTTACCTGCTTGTCCGCCCCCCTCCACGTGATTATGAGTTCCTTGAGGGCAAGGACCATGTTTTATGTGCATTTGTATCCCTAGCGCCCAGCACGGGGCCTAGAGATTTAATAGGAGCTCCACATAGTTGTTGAATAAATGGATGAATAATTCTTGGTCTGAGTAAACCTCTGACCTCTGTTCCCTTACTACTTCTACAGCAATCATATGTATAACGTATACAGTTCTTTATCAAACCCCATTTTTACCCACCCCTCTTCCCAGTAGTGCTAAATACCCTAGCCAAAATTTGTTACCCAGGCAGTCACAAGAGTCTGGGTCTCATCCGACTAGGAGTGGAACACAAGACAATGGTCTCAGTGTAGGTCCTGACCAATGCCAGTGTTGAGATCAGAGTCCACCCCCAAATCCCAAAGACAAGTGTTGCTGTCCTACTTATTCAGAATCTAACCTGCAGTATAGTAAGAGGGAAACCTATCTTAAGATCGTTCAAGTGTGACTAGACTTGACCAGTGGTCACCTTACCCTCTTCAAACCCTGAGCCAACAAGAAACACAGGCAGAACAGATACTTTTGCTGTGACTACAGCAAACACAGGACACTTATCTGAAGCTCTCCACACTGAAACTCAGGCTCCACATCATTTCTAGCAAGCAAAGAACAAGACATAGTTTCTTTTTATAGTTTCTTTTAATAAGTTTGTTAAAGCCAGTAAGCAGCTACAGACACAAGTGAAAAGTAGACCACTAAGAAAAAAATAAAAGGCATGAGGAACAGCAAAGACACATCCTTCACTCCACAATAAATACAGAGCTCTATTAGCATTCCCCCACTGACATCCCATGGGAGCCCTAGCTTCTCCTATGCTCAAAGGTACTCTCCATTACTGCGCAAGGGAACCAGACAGCATTCAGGCATGATGACGTCAAATCGAATGTGTACAGGCATTGCTGAGATCAAGGTCTACAGTTTTGGCCCTACACTTGAGTGGGGCTTGGTCACTCTTAACTTCTTCCAAGCTGTGCTGGATCCCATAGCCAAAGTAGATAGCAAACCCTAGTGAGGAAAAGTAGCTGCTGTGAGGTAGGGAAATAGTGATCTGTAAAGGCTTAATAGGTCCCTCTACATGAGAGGAAAAGGGAAAAGAATTGGGACAGGAAACCAAGAGGACTACTCTTCCCAAGTGGATACCTACCAATCAGCATCCAGACCCCAAATCGGGCCCAGGTGCCAGCTGTCATCTGCATCATAAGGTAAACATTCACAAAGATGCTCATTAGAGGGAGGAGAGGCAAAGCAGGTACCTGGGAACAAAGCAAAATCTTTGTATATACCATGAAGTGATGGAAAAAGAGATCCCTAACTTACTCAGGACAGGAAAGGGAGGGTCCAACTCCTACTCATCTTGTATTTTTCAGGGCCCACTCATTTAATGTGCCTTATAGAGGAAGACTCCAAGAATACAGTTGGGGGAAATTGAACTAGAAAGGAACTACGGAGGGGAGAGAAGAAAGAAGTCTTTGGCCTAGGTATCTCCTGTATCTTTCCTTTCTTGGTCAATTAGAGAATATTTATGAACCTTATTTTTTTAAAAGATTTATTTATTTATTTATTCATGATAGACACAGAGATTGAGAGAGAGGCAGAGACACAGGAGGAGGGAGAAGCGGGCTCCATGCCGGGAGCCCGACGTGGGACTCGATCCCAGAACTCCAGGATCGCGCCCTGGGCCACAGGCAGGCACCAAACCGCTGGGCCACCCAGGGATCCCCATTTATGAACCTTATTAGACCACAAGGCATCTGGAGCTTATTCTTCTGAGATGGTTTGGTGGGTGGAGAGAAAGAGGTCATTTACCTTAAAGTGCAAGGGAGTAGAACTCTGTGGCTGTCTCCAGATGACCCCAGTGATCCCAGTAACGAGCATCAGGAGCAGCACAACCACTACAGTCCACACTGGGTCTCCAGAAACCAGTGGAACGGGCCACTGGGCCAGCACCAGGCAAAGAAGAGTCAGCAGCAGAGCTTCAGGGGTCAAGTTGAGAAACATCAAAACCAACTCTTGAGACCAACATGTGAAGACATTAGGCACCCCAATTCAAAGTGACCCCAGAGGGAAAAAGCCATTGCTCACCAACCAGTGAGGAACAGACATAGACAACTTGGCCAGAGAGTGGAGTAGGGATGGAGCTGAGTGGACAGAACAGCCCCTGTAGGGTCAGCTTCTCTGCTCCAGCCATGTTCTCTTCTTGCAGCTCCACTTCATCCTCTTCATTCTTCAGCTCAGGCTGATACCTGAGGCAAGAGGAATAAGACAGGATTAAGAGCAACCCTTAACTGCTTTAGCATCTCCTGCCATGCACCTTAACCTTCCTCATAGTCATTAAGGGTACAAGCTCTTCTTGGCAGGGAGGGGTAAACCATGCTCCTCAAGGAGAGTCAGGATAAGGAAGGCAGAGGAAGGAGGAGGAGCAGATCCCCGTTATTCATCATCCAAGAAGAGAACCCCCAATCTTAGTTCACAGAGGGAGTCTCACCTGAGGATGAGAACACAAATAGCCACCAGGGAGTAGGCAAGTAGGGTCCCAATCGACATAAGGTCCACAAGATCAGTGAGTTCAAAGAGGAACGCCATGAATGCTGAAATTGATGGGTGGGAAACAAATGAGAGGAGGGAAGAGCAAAGTTAAGGGAACTGATGAAAAAAAACAGAGAAGGGCAAAGAGGATTTTTTTCCTTTACCTGCAATAATGCCAGAGACCACAGTGGCCACGATGGGGGTGTGTGTACCCGTGTGGACTCTGGCAAGGACACGGAACAGGAGTCCATCCTCTGCCATTGCATAGATCACCCGAGGCATGGGGAACATAGAACCTAAGAGGCTGGAGAAAGGAATGGCCAGAGTGGCATGAATTCACTGCAATCTGTCCCTGTGCCTGTGAGGTTAAAGGAGTCTCCACCTTCTCCTCACAGTCCTTTTAAGGGGTATTCTCAAGTACTGAATGCTGAAGCCTGAGACTCTGACAGCAGAGGAGAACAGAAGTCCGACACTGACCTGGTAGAAAGAGCACAGAGGGATCCAAGAGCCACAACATAGCGGGCGGGGGCCCATCCCGTATAGAGAAATGCTTCAGGCAGGGGGCTCTCTGGTTGAAGCTGGTAGTAAGGCATCATAAGCGTAAGGGCCGAAGAGACACCAAAATATGCCAAAAAGCAGACAAACAGTGAAACCACAATGCCCACAGGGATGGAATGCTGGGGATTCTGAGCTTCTTCGCCTGCAGGAAGGGGCACAAGTTTCCAAATGAGGAAAGCAGGCCTGCTCCTCCACCACCCTCAATCTGCATGCCACGTGGATATACTCTATATACCCCAGCCCCAGACTGAACCAGAATGACTGTTACCAGTGGTAGCAATACAGTCGAAACCAACAAATGCATAGAAACAGGTAGCTGCTCCACGGAGAATTCCCTCAAAGCCGAAAGGCACAAATCCTCCAGAGCCCAGAGGGCCCAGGCTGAAGTGTAAGAAAGGGATGGAAAAGGTAAAGGTGAGCTCAGCCAACTCTGTCTTTTCTCTAATGCCAAACTACTCAGGCAGGCCTTTCAAGACCTGACACCCGTTCCTCCCCAACCCAATCCTGAAGCCCTTAGCACAGACACCGCCCCCCCCCCCCCCCGGCGCTCCCCATCACGCTCCCAGCTCTGCCATCTCGAGTGAACCTAACCTATAGGTGTCATTGAGTCCAGCCACAGTCAGTTTGTAGTCCCCTTCTGTGAGTTTCCAATTGTGAAGGTCCCCCTTAATGAAGCCAGAGATGATGACAAAACCAAGAACCAAAAGGTTCACTACTGTGAACACTTTGGTAACCAGGGCTGATTCACTAGCTCCCAAAGCCAGCAATCCTGCAGGAAAAGAAGCAGTCAGGATTCAAAGTCCTCAGTTCAAGTGTTGTTTCCCCACCTCTGAGCACACCTTTTCTCCCCAGCTTCTCTTCTTTCTCACCATTATCACCTCCACCGGAGCCCGAGCCCGGCTCAGGCTTGGTCCTTCCTAGCCTAGCCCTGCCCCCACCATTAGCCCCGTCTCTTCCCTCACCGGTGAGCAACAACACAAGCCCCATAGCAAAGAAGTCTGGATATTCTGCGAGGACATGGGGAACATGCAATGAGATGCTCCCCTGCAGGGTCTGAGAGATGTGGTTCCCAATCAGGTTGTCAAACGCCGAGCTCCAGGCCCGGGCCACACTGGCTGTCCCTGGTGGAGCAGAGGAAGAAACATGGGGTCAAATTTCCTTCTCCTCCCCTCCTCGCTCCCCCAAACCAGTCACACAAATAATCCCTTCTGTTTTCACCTATTCTTACTTTTTTTTTTTTAAGGAGCCTTTACACCCAAATGTGGGACTTGAACTCACAACTGGAAGATCAAGAGCTGCATGCTCCACCAACTGAGCCAGCCAGGTGCCCCTATTCTTACTTTTGAAAAACCAAAACCAGTCAACTTAGGACACCAGGACAGAGGTAAGGAGAATGAACAGTTTCTCCACATCTTCAACCCTCCCAGCCAGCCCCCCAACACACAGACACATTTAGGGATATTGAAGTCCTGTAAATGTTAACGAATTTATCACTTCACCACAGCGTCCAGATTTCCTGACTCAAAGCCCCTTCATTGGCTGTACATTTCCCACCCTGCCCCACTGTCTCACCGATAACATAGGAGAGGATGAGGTTCCAGCCAGTGGTGAAGGCCCAGAGTTCACCCACTGTGACATAGCTGTAGAGATATGCAGAACCAGAACGGGGGACTCGGGCACCAAACTCCGCATAGCACAGTCCAGCCAATACAGAAGATAAAGCGGCCACCAAAAAGCAGATCACAATGGATGGTCCTGCTTTATCTTTGGCCACCTCACCAGCCAGGACATACACACCTGCACCCAATGTGCTGCCCACACCCAGGGCCACTAAATCCAGAGTGCTCAGGCATCTGGCAAGGCGAGTCTCAGCCATGCCTGGCTCCAGTGCTCGTCTGCGTACCAGCTTTTGACCAAATCTGCGAAGTGCCTGCCACAGCATTCTAGCTGGAATTGAAGAGGATTCTAGGATCTGGTGAAAACAAGACAAAAAAAAGCCCTTCAATAGGGCTCATTATCCCTAAGCTCTTAAGAGTGCATTACAATACCCACTCCACCAAGCAAAGGATTGATGGGGGGATGGGGAGGATATTGAAGGGACAAAGGCCAAGTGTCTTCCTCTAACCTCAGTTTCTTCCTTAACAAGTAGGAGTAAGAGTACCTCACAGGTTTGGAGGACTAATTGCAGAGAGACAGGTGAAAGCCCCCTACAGTACTGGCACCTCCCGAGTGCTCAGTCAGTATCAGTCTCTTTCTGTGAGGGGGAAACTCGGGTTTATCCTAGACCCCAACCCTCACAGGAATCATGGAACTTAATCTGTGCCCATTCCCTGGCCTGTAGCTCCTTGGGAATTAAACAGAACTCACCCCAGGTGCGGCCAGCAACTCTGGGCAGAACCCCCTTCTCACTATCCGTGTTCCTTTTCGGTGCTTACCCTAAGGGCTACTTAATAGGCAACGTTCTTAGATTGCCCGGAGGGAGAGGAGGGGGAACCGACCTCCACCGCAGATCAAAAGTGAGAACCGACTCAAATCCATCCCTACTCACTACGCCGACACCGCGTAAAACAGGCTACTGTCGCCTAGGGGAGTGAGCAAATGTTCCCCCACTTCCTCCCGCTTGGCTAGGCTGACCAGCAAGAATCAACAGTGGGGCGGGGCTTCGGCATCTAAAGATTTGGAGATGCACCCCGAGAGGGGCCCCAGAGCAGCCCGAAATTGCTTGCAACAGAGAGGGGTTCCACCCTATGCCCCCCAACTCAGCTCCCAGATTCATCTAGAAACGGTCTGGGGCTGAGGTGGAGACGGGAACCTTGGCTCCTGGGGCCGGGGTCTTGCCCAGCAACAGGTCACGGCCGCATTGATGCAACTGCATGCTATGGTTGCCAGAGAATCCTAGGTATTGCCCAGACCCTCGCCGTCCCCTTCCGACACACGTGTCGGCCCCCAAGGCTTACCGGAGAGCTGTGGAAGCCCAAGGAGAGGAGAGTCTCAGATTGGGGTGGGTGAGGCTGAGTTAAACGAGTTGGGTTGGGGGTACGGAGTTCGGCTGCTCAGGCTTCAAAGCTGCGGCTTGGGGTCGTTGCGCGCCAAGCGCCCCCTTATATACACCAGGAGGCGGAGCCGGTAACGTCATGGAATCCCACCCCCAATCCTCCTTACACCACACACTCTCTGTGTCTCTCTCTGTCTCTGTCTCTGTCTCTCTCGCTCCCTCTCTCATTCACTCATTCCTCGGCTTTGCAAAAAGGATTGCGTGCAGCCTGAGACTGCTTCCCACTTGCAACAGCCAGCCTAGCGTGGCAAGGAGCAAGAAAGCGAGGGTTGGGTGGGGGGAGGCTTTTCCCATTCTGCGAGCTTATAGTCAGAGCCGGACAATGAGAGGCTTCCAGGCCCGAGACCCCATGGGATCTTCTACCTTTGTGCCTTAACGGTCAGAATTTGTGTTTGGCGGCGGTGGGGGAGGGGGGAGAAGTGGAGGAGGAAACCGCACAGGAAGTCTCCAACTCACTCTCCCTTCAGCCTTTCTTTGCTTGTTTTTTCTACACGAGGTTCCCTCACCCCAGAAATCCTTCCCAAGGACCATACCAGATTATGGGCAGCTGTCTGCCTTCGATTGCTCAGCTCTCACCCCCAACTGCGGGTATTTCAATTGCAGTCAGCAAGGGAATGGAAGATGATTTCAGCCACCACAGAAAATTCATCCCATTTAGGATTTTAGGCCGCAGACTCTCCATAGCTTAGTTCCAGTTGAGCTATTAAATCTGGAACTGTAACAATGTTGAATTATTGGAGGAAGAGGTGTATTTAATTCCATCTTCCTGATGAGTAAACTGAGGCTCAGGCATGACTTACCTGACATCACACCATAATAATTTGTTGACCATCTTACTGATAAACCTGGCCTATTGGACTTTGATGCCTGCCTCCTATAGGTACCCTACTTCATTTAAATGCACAAGAAGAGGGGCATCTGGGTGACTCACTCAGTTAAGCATGGGACTATTGGTTTACCCTCCCGTCATGATCTCAGGGTCCTGGGATTGAGCTCCACCTGGGATTCTGCACTCAGCATGGAGTCTGCTGTCCCTCTCTGCCAGCTCCTCCTCCCCCATCTCTCTCAATCTCTCAAATAAACACATAAAAGTAATAAATAATTAAGTGCACAAGAAGAGGAGGCGTGACAGCAAGCAAAACAGGGAGAAGCACCAGCATTGGGACCAGCCCTTGTAGGCTGAGAATTTCTGGGAAACAGAAAAGATGCTAAAGAACCAAAGAATGATCAGAGTTGGGTGTCAAATCCATAATTCCATCCAACTCAATCGGTTCTTTTTTTTTAAGATTTTATTTTTTTTAATTAATTTATTTATTTATTTTTTATTGGTGTTCAATTTGCCAACATACAGAATAACACCCAGTGTTCATCCCGTCAAGTGCCTCCATCAGTGCCCTGTCACCCATTCCCCCCCAACCCCTGCCCTCCTCCCCTTCCACCACCCCTAGTTCGTCACCCATTCCCCCCCAACCCCTGCCCTCCTCCCCTTCCACCACCCCTAGTTCGTTTCCCAGAGTTAGGAGTCTTTGTGTTCTGTCCCCATTTCTGATATTTCCTACCCATTTCTTCTCCCTTCCCTTCTATTCCCTTTCACTATTATTTATATTCCCCAAATAAATGAGAACATATAATGTTTGTCCTTCTCCGATTGACTTCACTGAGCATAATACCCTCCAGTTCCATCCACGTTGAAGCAAATGGTGTGTATTTGTCATTTCTAATGGCTGAGTAATATTCCATTGTATACATAAACCACATCTTCTTTATCCATTCATCTTACCCCAAAGATACAGATGCAATGAAACGCCAGGACACCTGCACCCCAATGTTTATAGCAGTAATGTCCACAATAGCCAAACTGTGGAAGGAGCCTCGGTGTCCATCGAAAATTAATTTTTTAAAGATTTATTTATTCATAAGAGACACAGATTGAGAGGAGAGGCAGAGACATAGGCAGAGGGAGAAGCAGACTCCTCGCAGGTAACCCCATGCGGGACTCGATCCCAGATCCGGGGATCACTACCTGAGCCAAAGGCAGGTGCCCAACTGCTGAGCCACCCAGGAGTCCCAGATTTTATTTATTTATTCATGACAAACACACATACACACAGACACACACACACACACACACACACAGAGAGAGAGAGAGAGAGAGAGAGAGAGGCAGAGGGAGAAGCAGGCTCCATGCAGGGAGCCTGACATGGGACTCGATCCCGGGACTCCAGATAACGCCCTGGGCCCAAGGCAGCGCTAAATCTCTGAGCCACCTGGGCTGCCCTCAATCGGTTCTTAATCATAATGGAGCAATAAGAGTTGTGAAGGTGTGCTTCTCCTTCATCAAGACATCTCAAGTATTAAAAATGGACCCAAATATTCTTATTTCCTTTAAATCATATATTATGAATATGGCACCCATGTATCTAACTAAAATCTAAATCCTTTTAAAAGTAATTGGTATTTTCAGCTATCTACAGCTCCATTTTGGCATTCTGTAAGTATTCATTGAGCACTGTTTGTGTGTATAGCAGCTAGTATAGCAATGACAAGATTACAAAGGAACCAAAATGAAATCTTTGTCTTCCTAGCCTTAAAAATCTAGTTAGGGAGTAGGTACCTGGCTGGCTTAGTCAGTAGAGCATGTGACTTTTGATTTCAGGGTTGTGCGTTTAAGGCCTATACTGGGCATAGAGATTACTTTAAAAAAATAAAATCTTAAAAAAAAAAACCTAGTTAGAGAAAGAAAACACAATTCAATTAAAACAGTAATACACTGGGGCACCTAGGTGGCTCAGTCAGTTGAGCGACTGCCTCTTGATTTCAGCTCAGGTCATGATCTCAGAGTCCTAGGATCCAGTTCCACATAGGGCTCCACAGTCAGCACAGAATTGGCTTGTCCCTCTCCCTCACCCTCCACCCTTCCCCCTACCCTCTTTCTCTTTAAAATAAATAATATTTTTTAAATAGTATTACATACTGGTTGGGAGTGCAGTCTTCAGAGTTAGACCTAGGTTAAATTCCCAGCTCATCCACTGTGGCCTTGAACAAATCATCTAAAATCTGAGCCTCAGTTTCTGGATATAATATACATATTTCACAGGGTTGTCATGATACTTAGGTGAAATTATGAAGTCAACTTTTCCTGCCTGGTACAAGGGAAGTGTTCAATGAAAACTTGACACATACTTAGAATAATATATTAGTGGGTATAATAATCATTTGGTTGCTTAGATTAGCTGACTGATTCGATTATGAGATTGACAAAGTGATGTTTTAAATATTCAGGAAAAGGACATCAGTACACAGTGGAATATAGAAAGAATCTTTCTTAGTTTGTAAGGGGCTAAGAAGTGGTTGGCAAGGAACTCAGGCTGTGCCTTGAAGGATGAAGAGTAGATGAGCTCTGGACCTACAAAGAGGCATGAAGTAGTCAGGGGCCCATACAGAGATGAGCTTAGCAAGTGTAGCGTTAGGCAGCAGTGGAAGATAAGATTGGGTAATAGATGGCTCCCCCTTGGAGTAAAGGGTGTCATAAATGTATTATCCAATATGTAAATAGTAATTCTTATCCTTGGTCATAAACTCACACTCAAGTCGAACAGTGTACTCAATTATTCAATAAAAATTTGGCCAGGGCAGCCCTGGTGGCTCAGTGGTTTAGCGCCGCCTTTGGCCCGGGGCATGATCCTGGAGACTTGGGATCGAGTCCCTGCATGGAGTCGATTCTCCCTCTGCCTGTGTCTCTGTCTCTCTCTCTCTCTCTCTCTCTCTCTCTGTCTCTCATGAATGAATAAATAAATAAAATTAAAAAAAAAATTTGGCCAATGACTTAGAAGCATTAGGTGGTGACCTCCAATTCCAGCATTCCCAGATTTTGTGAACAACTATCCCCATTGACCTATTCATCCCTTTCACAAATTTGTAGGATTCAACCACATTTCCTCACTCAGCTTTTATTTTTCCAGAAGTTCCATAGTGCCCTCAATCATTATGGACTTCCTCTTTCAATATCTCTTTTCTGTGGTACAATGGCCACGTACAAACACTAATTTTTTTTTAAGTAAGCTCTATGTCCAATGTGGGACTTAAACTCACCACCCTGAGATCAAGAGTCTACTGATTGAGCCAGCCAGATGCCTCCAAACACTAAAGTTTTTGTTTTTATTATCAAACAACTTAACATTAATGAAACCTGCAAAAAAGTTACCCATAATTCCTAACAAACCAACTATGTGGGTTTCAGCATGTTCTGTTATGGTCTTTGTCTATATTCAATTAGCATATAATTTTGCACTCTCTTTTTTTCATGATCAAATATTTTCTCAAATTACTACTACTGTTCAGAATTATCATTGTTCAGAATTATACTGTTCAGAATTATCATTGTTGGTAGTTGCATAATATTCCATAGCACTGGCAGCTGAGTGGCTCATTTGGTTGAGCATCCAACTCTTGGTTTTGGCTCAGGTCAAGATCTTGGGGTAGTGAGATTGAGCCCCACCTCAGGCTTTGCATTCAGCAAGGAGTCTGCTTGAGATCCTCTCTCCCACTCTCCATCTGCCCCTCCCCCCCACTTTTGCATGTACACATGCACAAGTGTGCTCTCTCAAATAAATAAATAAATATTTTTTAAAATATTCCATAGCATTATGCAACATTATTTATGTAACCATTTAAACATTTATTCAGGTTGTTTCCAGTTTTCCTTTATTCTACAAAACATCATTCACACAATGTCTCAAAAAGAAAAAAACCCATGATGTTCCTATTTACTAGAATTACTTTCTTAGGCTTTGTTCCCAGGAGTGGGATTATTGAGTCAAAGATAATGAAGATATTTATAAACTTTGATACTTGTTACAGTGTTTCACCAAAGGAAATTTTTTTAAGAAGATTTTCATTTATTTACTCATGAGATACACAGAGAGAAGACAGAGACATTGGCAGAGGGAGAAGCAGGCTCCCCACAGGGAGCCCGATGCAGAACTCATCCTGGAACTCCAGGACCATGTCCTGAGCTGAAGGCAGATTCCCAACTGCTGAGCCACCCAGGTGTCCCAAAGGAAAATTTTTAAATCAATTTACAGTGCTATCAGTCATAGTAGAGTAAACCAGCTTTACCACAATTTCCACAGCATAGCTATCATTGTTTAAAGTTATTTGCTAATCAAAGTAGAAATTCATTGTGTATAATTAATAAACAGTTCAATAAATGTTCACAAAATGAACACACACATAGCAGCAACCACATCAAGAAACAAAACATTAGGAGTACCCGGGTGGTTCAGTGGTTGAGCACCTGCCTTTGGCTCAGGGCATGATCTTGGTGCAGCAATCAAGTCCCACATCCAGCTCCCTGCAAGGAGCCTGCTTCTCCCTATGTCTATGTCTCTGCCTCTGTCTCCATGTCTCTCATGAATAAATAAATAAAACCTTAAAAAAATAAAAGAAACAAAAATTATCAGTTCCCAAGAAATCCCTTTCCTGCTTCCTTCCAGTTACTATTCCCCTTCTAACAAGAGTGCCTTCTGTCCTGACTTCTAACAGAATAGACTTTAACCTGTTTCAGTACCTGATGTAAATGGAATCATACAGTATGTACTCTTTTGTTGATATAAAATCTATATACCATAAAATTCCCCCCTTTAAAGTATATACAATTCAGAGGCTCCCAGTTGGCTCAGTAGGTTAAGTGTTCAACTCTTGATTTTGGCTCAGGTCTTGATCTCAGGGTCATTAGATTGAGTCCCATGGCAGACTCTGTGCTGGGCATGGAGCCTTAAGATTCTCTCTCTCCCTCTCCTTCTGCCCCTCCCCTCTCTAAAATTTTTTTTTAAATAAAGTATACAATTCAGTAGTTTTTAGTATAATCAGATGCACACATCTGTTATTACAATCAATTTTGTTACATTTAAAAAAAATTTTGGAGCATTTTCTTTTTTTGGTGCAAAATGGTGGTTTTACTAGGGTACAGGGACAGGACCCATGGGCAAAAAAGAGCTGCTCCCCAATTTTAGAACATTTTCGTCATCCCACAAAAAAGACCTTTTCCTATTTCCAGTCATTCCCCATTTCCTACCAACCCCCTCACATGATCCCTAGGCAACCATGATTCTACTTCCCTTTTTTAAAAAAATTTTTTTTATTTATTTATGATAGTCACAGAGAGAGAGAGAGAGAGAGAGAGAGAGAGAGAGAGGCAGAGACACAGGCAGAGGGAGAAGCAGGCCCCATGCACCGGGAGCCCGATGTGGGACTTGATCCCGGGTCTCCAGGATCGCGCCCCGGGCCAAAGGCAGGTGCCAAACCACTGTGCCACCCAGGGATCCCTTCTACTTCCCTTTTTATTGTCAATTAATGTTTCATTGTATGGAAATACATTTTATTTATCTGTTCATTAACCAATAGATGTTTGGGCTGTTTCTATGTTTTCTGGCTCTATGAATAATGCTGCTATGAACATCAGTGTACACATTTTTCTGTGGACATGTTTTAAATTCTTTAGAGTAAATATCTAGGAGTGGAACTTATGGATCATATGGTAACTCTATATTTAGCATCTTGAAGAACTAACAGACTGTTTTCTACAAGGGTTTTACCACTTTACATTCCCACCAGCAGTGGATGAGTGTTCTAATTACTCCACATTCTCACCAACACTTGTTATGAGCCATCTTTAAAATGTTTTTTAAAGATTATATTTATTGTGGTTTTGATTTGTATTTCCCTGATAGCAAGTGATGCGGAGCATTTTCTCATGTGCATGTTGGCCATGTCTATGTCTTCTGTGGTGAAATTTCTGTTCATGTCTTTTGCCCATTTCATGATTGGATTGTTTGTTTCTTTGCTGTTGAGTTTAATAAGTTCTTTATAGATCTTGGATACTAGCCCTTTTTCTGATATGTCATTTGCAAATATCTTCCCCATTCTGTAGGTTGTCTTTTAGTTTTGTTGACTGTTTCTTTTGCTGTGCAAAAGCTTTTTATCTTAAGTCCCAATAATTCAATTTTGCTTTTGTTTCCCTTGCCTTCATAGATGTATCTTGCAAGAAGTTGCTGTGGCCAAGTTCAAAAAAGGTGTTGCCTGTGTTCTCCTCTAGGATTTTGATTGATTTCTGTCTCACATTTAGGTCTTTCCTCCATTTTGAGTTTATCTTCGTGTATGGTATAAGAGAATGGTCTAGTTTCATTCTTCTACACGTGGCTGTCCAATTTTCCCAGCACCATTTACTGAAGAGACTGTCCTTTTTCCAGTGGATAGTTTTTTCTGCTTTGTCGACTATTAGTTGACCATAGAGTTGAGGGCCCATTTCTGGGTTCTCTATTCTGTTCCATTGATCTTTGTATCTGTTTTTGTGCCAGTACCATACTGTCTTGATGAAACCACAATGAGATACCACCTCACACCAGTGAGAATGATGAAAATTAACAAGACAGGAAACAACAAATGTTGGAGAGGATGTGGAGAAAGGGGAACCCTCCTGCACTGTTGATGGGAATGTGAACTGCTGCAGCCACTCTGGAAAACTATGTAGAGGTTCCTCAAAGAGTTAAAATAGAACTGCTCTACGACCCAGCAATTGCACTGCTGGGGATTTACCCCAAAGATACAGATGCAGTGAAACTCCGGGTCACCTGCACCCCAATGTTTATAGCAGCAATGTCCACAATAGCCAAACTATGGAAGAAGACTCAGTGTCCATCGAAAGATGAATGAATAAAGAAGATGTGGTTTATGTATACAATGGAATATTACTCAGCCATTAGAAACGACAAATACCTACCATTTGCTTCAATGTGGATAGAACTGAAGGGTATTATGCTGAGTGAAGTAAGTCAATCGGAGAATGACAAACATTATATGGTCTCATTCATCTGGGGAATATAAAAAATAGTGAAAGGGAATAAAGGGGAAAGGAGAGAAAATGAGTGGGAAATATCAGAGAGGATGACAGAACATGAGAGACTCCTAACTCTGGGAAACGAACAAGGGGTAGTGGAAAGGGAGGTGGGTGGGGGGATGGGTGACTGGGTGATGGGCACTGAGGGGGGCACTAGACAGGATGAGCACTGGGTATTATGCTATATGTTGGCAAATCAAACTCCAATAAAAAATATACAAAAAAACTTAAATGCTAATCTCACGAAAAAAAAATAAAGATCGTATATTTGAGAGAGAGAGCATGTGCGTGCATGCGCACACGAGCATGAGTAGGGAGAGGGACAGAGGAACAAGCAGACTATCTGCTGAGTGGGGAATCCAACTTGGGGCTTGATCCCAGGACCCTGAGATCATGACCTGAGCTGAAGTAAGCCGATTAACCAACTGAGCCACCCAGGGATCCCATAAACTTTCTTTTTAATCAGAGCCAACCTAGTAAGCATGAAGTGGTATCTTATTGTGGTTTTGATTTGTATTTCCCTAATGACTAATGATGTTGAGTATCTTCTCATATGCTTATTTGCCATTTGGATGTCTTTTTTTTTTTTTTTTCAGCTGAAAGGTCTCACATTTATTACTGAACCAACCTACTGGTATAGAGGCATAGTAACAGAGAAAATCATTTCCTTGATAAGACATGTCTATTGGCCAGGTAGGAAGGATGTTTCCATATTTATAGGATAGGAACATGTGATCTCCATGCGGCTTAAATATGTGTATCAATTATGTTTGCTATTTCATGATGTGCGATGCTTCCTCATAGACCCAGCTTAGTTCTCCAGTGCCTCCTCTTGGAGTTGTACCTGATTTTATTACCAGTTTTCATCCGAATCCACTGGGGAATAGGATGATTTTGCTTTTGTTTCTTGGCCAGGAATCGCTTGATTCTGAAAGTCTTGTGAGAAGACATGGCGATCACAGTCAACCACACGCAACCAGGATGGCGGCGAAAAGGAGAGAGCGCATTTGGATGTCTTATTTGGAGAAAAATCTATTCAAATCCTTTGCCCGATTTTAATTGGGTTGTCTTTTTATTGTTAAGTTTTAAGGATTTTTTTCATATAGTCTAGACACTAGACCCTTAACAGATATAATTTGTAGGGTACCTGGCTGCCTCAGTCAGTGGATCATGTGACTCTTGGTCTCAGGGTTGTGAGTTCAAGCCCTACATTGGGTGTAGAGATTACTTAAAACTAAAATCCTAAAAAGAAAAAAAAAAGATATAAGGGATGCTTGGTGGTTGAGCGTCTGCCTTTGGCTCAGGGTGTGGTCCCGGGGTCCTGCGATTGAGTCCCACATCGGGCTTCCTGCATGGAGCCTGCTTCTTCCTCTGCTTGTGTCTCTGCCTCTCTCTCTCTCTCTCTCTGGTCTCTCATGAATGGACAAATAAAATTTAAAAAAAAGATATAAGATTTGCTTATATATATATATATTTTTAAATTAAGCTCTACAACCATCATGGGATATAGCTAGGCACTCCTTGTTAATATTTTTGCCCATTCTATGGGCTGCCTTTTTACTTTCCTTATAATGTCTTTTGATGCACAATTGTTTTTCATTTTGGTGAAGTTCAATTCATTTTTTCTTTGCTTCTGCTTTAATTGCCACATATGAAAAAATACTGCCTAATCCATGGTTACAAAGATTTACGCCTATGTTTCCTGCTAAGTTTTACGGTTTTATTTCTTATATTTAGGTCTTTGATCCATTTTGAGTTAATGTTTGTACAAGGTATGACATAGGGTCCAGATCCATTCTTTTGCATGTGGATATCAAGTGTCTTAACACCATTTATTGAAAAGACTATTTTTTACCCCATTGAATTGTCTTGCATTCTTGTCAAAAACCAATTGACCACATATATGAGGACTTACTTATGGACATTCAATTCTGTTCCAATGACATATATGTCTATTTTTAATGCCACTACCACACTGTCTTAGTTACTATTAGCTTTGTAGTAAGTTCTGAAATCGGGAAATGTGAATCCTTTAACTTTGTTCTTGTTTTTCAAGATTGTTTTAGCTTTTCTGTCCCTTGAATTTCCATATGAAATTTAGGATCAGCTTGTTAGATTTTGCAAAGAAGACAGCTGGAATTTTGACAGGTATTACCTTAAATACATAGATCAATTTGAGGAATACTGGCATCTTAATATATCAAATCGTCTGATCTGTGAACATGGGATGCATTTCCATCTTTTAAAGTCTTCTTTAATTTCTGTCTACAGTATTTCATACTTTTTAGAGTGTAAGTTTTATACTACTTTTTATAAATTTATTCCTAAGTATATTATTCTTTTTGATGTTATTGTAGGTGTAATTCCTTTCTTAATTTCATTTTCAGTTTGTTCATTGCCCTTACAGAAATACAGTTGAGGGGTGCCTGGCTGGCTCAATCAATAGAGCATGCTACTCTTGATCTCAGAATAGTGATTTCAAACATAGAGATTACTTTAAAAAAAGAAAGAAATGTAATTTATATTTGTATATTGATTGTGTACTCTGCAGCCTCGTTGAACTCACTTAGCAGTCTCAAATAGTGTTTTAACAGATTCTTTAGGACTTTCTCTTTTTTTTAAGTTTTTTATTCAGGTAAAGTATACATAACCTTTGCCACTTTAACCATTTTATTTAAGTAATCTCTACCCACAACTGTGAGTAATCCCTACCCCAGAGATGAGGCTTGAACCCACACCCCAGAGATCAAGAATCACATGCTCCACTGAGTGAGTCAGCCAGGCACCCTTCCTTAGGACTTTCTATATAAAAGATCATGTCACTTGCAAATAGAGATAATTTTACTTCTTCTCTTCCAATATGGATGTCTTTTATTTCTTTTCCTTGCCTAATTTCTCTAGCTCAAACTTCTAGTACAATGTTGAATAGAAACTGTGAGAGTAAACATCCTTGACTTGTTCCTGATCATATGGAGAATGTATTTAGTTTTTCACTAAGTATGATATTAACTGTGTGTTTTTATAGACACCCTTTACTAGACTGAGGAAGTACACTCAACATTAACTTTCTGAGATTCATCCATATTGTTGTGCATCACTGTCAATCATTAATTCTTAGCTGTATAGTATTCCTTTGTGGAAATATATCACAATTCATTCCTTCTATCTTGTTGATTGACTTGTTAGCTTATAGTCTTTAGCTACTACAAATAGTGCTTCTATGAATGTTCTAGTACAAATTATTTGTAGAACACATGTGCATAATCCTGTTAGTTATAGACTTAGCAGTGGACTTCCTGAGTCAGAAAATGTGAATATATTCAATTTTTGAAGTTTTATGTTCAAAGTTGTCAATCTTAATTTTGTAAGAATATTAATAGTACTAAGACACTGAAATTTAAAAGATTTCATAGGTTCATACACATACTTTAAAAAGGCAGGGGTGGAAGCTCTTCTTTGTAGAAGAATGCCAGGTAATAAATCTATAAGAAATGCTAGCACTAGAAAATCACCACTTTGCACTGACCAAAGTAATAACTGATTCAGACCAGGATCATTAATAGGTGATCCTTGAGGGCAGCCCCGGTGGCGCGGCGGTTTAGCGCCACCTGCAGCCCAGGGCGTGATCCTGGAGACCGGGGATGGAGTCCCACGTCGGGCTCCCTGCATGGGGCCTGCTTCTGCCTCTCTCTCTCTCTCTCTCTCTCTCTCTCTCTCTCTCTCTGTCTCTCATGAATAAATAAAAAATAAAATCTTTTAAAAAATAGGTGATCCTTGAATGTTGGGAAATAGGATATTCACATGATCTCAAAGTATCACCCCTACAGATTACAAATTAATTACACAGGGAAAGTTACCTGTATTAGTTTTCTATTTCTACTGTAACAAATCACTACACATTTACTTACTTAAAACAACACAAATTTATTATTCCATACTATATAGGTCAGAAGTCCAGCACTGTCTTGCTAGATTCAATGTAGGGCTTGAACTCATGATCCTGAGATCAACGCTTGATCTGAAATCAAGACTCAGACACTCAACTGACTCAGCTACCCAGGTGCCTCTGATTGAAATGAAAAAAAGAAGACAGCTATAAAGGACATTATCGGGACCATTGGGGAAATCTGAATGTGGATTGTGTGTCAGTTGCCCCTAAAGTAAAATTTTTTAATTTTTAATGTTTTTAATTTTATTATTTATTTATTAAAGATTTTATTTATTCCTGAGAGATACAGAGAGAGAGGCAGAGACATAGGCAGAGACAGAAGCAGGCTCCCTCTGGGGAGCCTGATGCAGGATTTGATTCCTGGACACCAGAATCACGACCTGAGCCAAAGCAGGGGCATCTGGCTGGCTCAGTCTGTAGAACATAGGACTCTTGATCTGGGGGTAGTGAGTTCAAGCCCCATGTTGAGTGTAGAGATTACTTTTCTTAAAAATCAATTAAAAAATAAGTATTGCAAAAGCAAAATATGTTTATGAGAAAATAAAATTATACTGCCACCCAGTGTGATAACCACTCTTAACAGTTTCTTTTGAACGAACTAGGGGTGGTGGAAGGGGAGGAGGGCGGGGGGTGGGGGTGAATGGGTGACAGGCACTGAGGGGGGCACTTGACGGGATGAGCACTGGGTGTTATTCTGTATGTTGGTAAATTGAATACCAATAAAAAATAAATTTATTATTAAAAAAACAGTTTCTTTTGTTTTCTTCCAGATTCTGTGTTTATACAAGAAAATATATGCATAATATAAACACATATATCCTTTAAAAATACAAATATAATTATAATATACATATTCTGCTCTTTCTTTTTTTCTTAAAAGTATACTTTGGACTGATTTCCAAATCAGTACTCCTAGACCCCCTCACTCACCTTTTTAAATGGCTAGTGTTCCAGTTTGGAGGGCCCATAATTTATTTAACCACTCCCCTACTTATGCACATTTATGTAGTTTCTAAGTTTCTTTTCCCAGCACAACATTTTAAATAATGGGTGCTTTACCATATTTTAACATTTGTGAAGGCAAGACTTGCTCTTTTCACAAAGAACTTCAAGCCATTTATTTTTCCAAGTGAAACAGTTACTCTAAGTCATTTCTGCTATAATGCTTATTTTGAAAATGAGAATTTGTTCCAAAGCAATTGACATATCAGGCAACGATTTAAGCAAAATGCGAATTTTGCCTTTGCTTATGTGCAGTTTTGTCTGTTGGAAACAGTAAATGAATGCAGCAAACTGCACCCAGATTAACAAAGCCATGCAGAAATACACATAATGAACACATGCATACATTTGCAGACATCTACCAGCTACATCAGTTTACCATGTGTGTTATGAGTCACACTCCTCCACATCTGGTGTTACAACTTCCTGTCAAATTTCAGATAACTTTTTTTCCACCATTTCACAGTAATTCACAAGCTAAAACCACTCAATGCTCACTTCCTCAAGCACACTTTAAGTATTTTTCAAGGTAAAGTACTATATTTATTATAGAATTCATATGTTTCTTGTCTTTTAACATGTGTAAAACTGTGATTCCATTTTTATTAACTTCCTATCATTTTTGTGTCACTGACACAGATTTTTAGTGTTTTGTCTCTAATCTTATTTTACCCATAAGCCATGTGGCTTTTATTGCAGTTTTGGGTAGCTGGGTGATTTTTAGAAATGCATATGTTGCTTATTGCAGAACTGATTGTATTGAGTTTAAAGAAAAATTTTGTTGAGGTTCTGAGTGAAATCACAGTAAATTCATAAATTTATTTTAAGAGAACTAATATATTTTTTAAAAAGTAAACTCTCCACCCAACCGAACATAGGGTTTGAACTCACGACCCTGAGATCAAAAGTCACATGCTTTACCTACTGAACCAGCCAGGTGCTCCTACAGAACTAATATTCTTTTTTCGTTTTTTAGATTTTATTTACTTATTCGTGAGAG